GTTGCCTTGCCACAATGAGTAAAGAAAAAAGTAAAAATAATTTGTGTTGCAAGTAATGCTGTTATCACCTGTCGTCCTAGCGCCTTCTTCTTCTTCTTCTTCAAACAAAAAAAAAAGCGTAAGAAATTAGAGTAGAGAACACAATAGAAAAAACGATGGCAAGTAGTTAAAAGTAAAAATTGAAAGTATGTAAATTATTTTTTTCTTACTCTTGTCGTTCTGGATACATAGGAAAGTGAATTCGCGTAATTGGCAAATAATAAGTATTTTCTACCCAACAGTAATTCTCTGTATACTGCTCCCATGCGTCTGTGAACTGTGCAGGAACCCAGCATTGAATTGGATAACCTGTAAATACAAAATTATCTAGACACATAAAGATAACCAACTAGTTAGACAGTTGGTTAACTAATCTAGCTGAATAGATAAATTAACAAAAGAAGTGAACTAACACATGCAAACATTATCTTGAATGGCATTCGCAAAAAATAGTAGAAAGCTGAAAAAAACGCAAGTTCGGTTTGAGCACGTCGTGCATGAAATGTTTAACACTTACAATAAATTATAAATCACTGTCTGCCGGCAAGAAATTTCTTAACTAAAAAATTTTACAAAAAACTACAATCTTTTTGCTTGAAATATTGAATTATATATCTAATAATATCGACAAGAACGTGTAGTCTATTTCGGTGTAAGTCATTGTAAGTTTCGCTATCGCGGTTTTCAGCTTTACCATTGTTGTTCTTATCATAGTTGCTGTCGTTGATTTCACTGCTGTTGCTTACACCTCATCTACTTTCCTTTCTCCCCCCACCTCCCTTCCATCACTCCCTCTCCTCAATTTTTTTTCAAATTTCTAGATAGTTTCGGTAAAGGAATAAAATAAAACAAAAGAGGCATTAAAATTTCTCTACTTAAATTTTCTTTTTATTCTTTGGTCAAAATAAAAGCCAAGAGTTTTTTGGATTTTATGTTCTTACCAATTAAAAAAACAAAACTAAAGAGAAAAATGAATCATTTATAATTCAGTTACACATCTATTTAGTTCGAATTACTTGAACATTTTTGATAAAGTGCAGCAACAGAATTTGCCAAAAACAGTTAAATCACCCAAAACTTACATTAAATACAGTTAAAAGCTTTTCAAAATTACAAAATCTAATAAATTTTTAGATTACTTCTTTGTC